GCATCTGCCCTTCCTCCTAGGAGCTAACAATTAACATAAAAGCAAAAAGTTAAAAATCACCAAGTACAAATGTCTGAAATCACAAGTGTCAAGTATCTAGGGATGGACATGCTCCAATGCCTAGAGGGCTGCATTGCTGGATTTTTACATATTGTGGAAGGATGCAACCATTTCAGCACCAGTTTGGCAACTGGTAGTGACAGTAACTCACTTCTAATCATCTGCCATGTTTTTTAAAGGTTTTAAACCCCTGATTAATGGGGTTTGTGGGGGGCACTCCAAAACACAATGTAAAGGAAGGAGTGTGTTTTAACCTTTTAAAAAGGGAGAAAGGAGGGGTGTTTTCAGTGGCTTTGTAGGGTTGGGTGGTTTTGAAGTCCAGACAGGTCTGCTCGCTCCTCACCCCATACCCCAGGCTGCATGCAGCTCATGAGGTGCCTGGTTCTCACTCTGATCAAAAACCATGAATTACAAATGTTTGTTAAAATGTCACCATAACAGAAAACAAATGAATCACTTGCTTACTTCTGCAAATCTTGTACCTATAGATATGTTTTTGATTTGCATTTGAAAAATAAGAGGATGGAAATATAACAAGAGACACTTTTGCATTACATAATTATAGCACGATGAATCCACTTTAACTGTCATGGTTGCATCCTATGGAATCCTGGGATTTGCAGTGACTGGAGAGGCATTTAGAATTGTCAGCCTGAGACCTCTACTGCCTCCTCAAACTACAAACCCCAAGATTCCAGAGAATACACCTATGGTGGTTAAAGAGGAATCATAGGGTTATAATTGTGTGGCTTAATGGTGGGTAGGGATGCCTGATCCATGATCTTGACCAGTATCTTTAGTAGGAAACACACTTTTTGATGCATGACTTCTCTTTTTCTGAAATAAACATTACAATTTTTGTTTTAAAAAATTACAGTTGACCTTGTTAGCTAATGCTGCTTATGATCCATTAAAACTCCCTCTCATCAAGGATGAGCACATTTGCAAATATTCTTTATATCCTATGTGTGTGTTTGTTTACACATACATGTGTGCATTTATATACACATGTTTATCCCATATGTATGCACACACATACAAATTCCATTAATTTTTGGAGGACATTCTCAGGAATTATAACTTGGAGATTGATATTATTGCTTTCTTCGAGTTGTTTCCATCACAGAACAGTATATGTGAAAAAGAAATTAAAACTGAAGCTCAGTAGTGATAATTCACAGCCAAGGTAAGACAGCAATATATTGCACCATAAAAGAGCAGACGAGGTTTGGAACAGTACCCTGGATAGTCCCTAGTTCTTGCTGTGAGAAGCAGAGAAGACATAATGGCTTCTCAGTCTTACAACCCCATAACAACATTGATTTGGGTCCTGATTTATGGTATCATTTGTCCTTGGTAAGAGCCATTCACCAAGATGGGTGGGGGGAGTAAAATAGTGTCTGGCTATGGAAACCTTTTTTAAAAAGATGGGAGAGTAGAAGATATAAATGGCTGAGAAAATCAAGGCAAGTTCTACAATTTGTACATCTTGATTCATATAAATTAGTTCAATAAAATTATGCCCCCTGCCTACATACAGACACATTTGACTCCACCAGTGGCAGCTAGTGGCTTCCATGTCATTGGGGTGATGAATCCATTTAGTGTGAATTTTAATGACGCCATCCAAATTACTGAACCACATCCCCAAAATAGGCTTGGTACTTTGGCTCCCTCCTGAAAAGGCAGTGCTAGTTCAGACCAAACCCCAGGGGAGAGTCACTGCCCTACTGATATGGGAGACAATGCAACCACTAGACTCTAGTCAGAATCTAGAATAATAAAATAGGATGCTTGTCTTTCTGTAAGAGCTATGTTTCCAAGACCATGAAAGCAACAACACTAAAACAGGCATGAAAACTAAAGGCTACACATTTGGGGTTGGGGTGTCTTTGTTCTAGTGAAATAATACATTGATTCTTACTAATTTTAACAAGTTTCCAGTTTGAAGACTGGAGTACCATCTTTAGTCAGTAGGTGTCAAACTTGCCTAACCAGTACATAGCTTTGCAGCAGTCTGAAGCCAGGATGAAGAAGTATGAGGGTAGTATGAGACTGTACACTCCCCATAGCTCTGGGGGAGCTCATCCTTGTAGATACAGGGTGTACAGACTCCTCCTGTAGGGATATACAATGGCAGTGGCCATACTTAGAGATTTCAATAGCCATACTTTGTTCAAACAGGGAAGGCACAATATCTCCAATTCTAACATTTGTATAACTGTGCTTGAAGAATTTGATATATAAAACAAAGAGTTGTTCAAAACTATATGAAACTAGGGGATTTGATTAGTTCTAAACAAATGTCTGAATTCAAAGAACCTCATATTTACAAATTATACTATATTATACTATACTATACTATATTCAAATCATATATAACCAGGGATCATCAACTTCTATATTTTACAGGGGGACTCAAGTGTCCTGGGATGAAAGAATTTCCATTTTCCCCCACGGCTCCCCATAAGCCAAACATCAGTTCAAATACAAAAATGGAATTGGCACATCTCTTCCAGTCAGTGGTGGAGATTACCTGGGGGAAAGATGCGGGGACAAACATTGGCCCCACCTCTTCTACAGTTGTCCACACATGAGCAAGATCCATCACATCATCACAAACACAGTTGATAGGTAATATCAGGGATGGCAAAGACAGAATCCAGCCCAAAACACAGACAGCCATTATTACCAATCAGATTTGTTGATCTGACTCAGTATAAGGCTGGTTCCCATGTCTGTTATGTAACCAAGAACTCACACCTCAATGCAAGGTTGCCCCACATGGTGAATTTATCAAGAATGGCATTTGCAATACCTTTTTGGCAATGAAATGTTCTCAAACTATGGCCTCAATCTGCACACAGGTTAACTTTTGGGCTCTCAAAGGCAGGAAGGGCTCTAAAGTCTTCCTAAATCTGGTGTATTTTACCCTCTCTACTGAGTCCCTGGCATACAGTCTAGTTTCCATTGCCTCCCTGACAGCAATGTTTGACAGCTGTCAGAGAGAAGTCAAGAATCATGAAGGTTTGCCATCATTCCTTTGCTTTTTTCAACAAGCGTGAGATAGTAATATGGTAAAATTGATCATTTCCTGGTCAAGATGGAACTGAGAGCCAATTTCCGCCCCACC